AAAAATTCAGTAACAGTGAAAAGCATAAACATGTTGTTCTACCTATGTTTTATCCAAAAAAGATTCTAGTCTATTTCCTTTGTCAGGCCACTGAGCTCTAAGATGTGATTCATAAGTTCTTTTTCTTCAATTAAATCTACATTATACATGAAGTCAAACAGGAACACAGTATGTTCTGATGTGAACTGAAACCTAAGAAATAATCTAGCTCTTCACGAACTAAGGGCATTACTTTTATGTCACAGACTTACAAGGTTTGAGCAGAATCCATAATACTATTCAAGTCACATTCTTTTCTCCCTGCCTTCAAATCAATTCTGACTCAAAACAACCCTATAGTCACATTAGATTTTTTACAATTGTATTGCATTGTCATCAAATAAACTGCACCAAACCTTCAAAAATAAAAATCTATATAAATGCCAAAAAATAAGTATTTTTAGCACCAAGAATATCAAATGGACAAGGAAAATAAAATCAGTTTAATTTTTAAAAAGGACAACTTTAAATTTTATTATTTCTACTGGCTTCGGTGATATTTTAGGCATATTATTATATGCTAACTGTATTGGTAACTGACATTACTGACTGCAACATAAGTTTTGCTTTTCTATTAAATATTTATTTCTTTCATATTCCAGAGGACTTCAAAGGTTTATAGAAAATTTCATTACCTTCTAACTATACTTTTTCTTGAACTATTTAAAGTCCCTCGTACACTATTACAATTATTTGTAATAAGTCTACTAGGGGAAAAACGCAGACCAAAGATGCCAAAACAAAGCCGCACCAGGCACTCTCCTCTAACAAAACTCTGAGCGAGTGGGCGTGATAGCAGTGGTGCTCCCCTGATGAAGCATGGGTAAAACCGCCTGCAGGTCACTACTCCATACTAGATGTCTGGTAGCTTTCCATCACACTCAAAATCCACACTCCTAACATCATCCCCAAGACCTAGATAGTGAATGAAGCCTGAGCATTCCCTTCAAGCTCTTCTTAACTTACCATCTTCCAGCTAGCCAACATGGCATTTCAAACATCTGACTTCTTTCCACTTCTCAAACACTACAAGGTCATTTCCACCTCAAACCCTATGCACTTAATTTTCTCTGCCCCTGATTTCTCTTCTCCCAGATTTTACTCTCTCAATTAATCCATTTGCTCAAATGTAATCTCTTCACACTTGTTCATTTAATTTCATTTGCTAAATTATCACCTCCCTAACTACTTTATCTGAAATCTCACTCCCACATCAAAACCCAACCTCTGATATGATCCAATCTTTCCAGGCATTTATTCTTACCTGATATTACCATCTTTGCTTATTACCTATATGCCTTCTTCGTGGAAATGTTAAATTCCATTAAAGCAAGTGGTTTCATCGTCCTTATCTACTCTCACTAACTCTTAACCTAGACAGTGCCTATTTATCATGTAAATAAATGGGAGGGGTAAAAACCCTTCAAATATATAAAAACATAAGATGTGTATAAAATTAAATACCAAAAAAATGTTATTTGTGGCTACATACAGAGTAGCAGAATAAGCATATGTATGAAGTGATACATACTAATTCCATGATAACCACTTGACTTGTCAAAATGCCTTACTGTGCTGCCTTGATGCTGGAAATTATGCCACCTGTGCTTCAAATTCCAGCAGGTCACATGACAGCTTTCAGTGGACCTTCCAGACAAAGACAGATAAAGGCACAAAGCCTGATGATCCATTTCCAAAAAGTAGCCGAGGAATACCCTATGGCTCACAACAGAAAACTGTCCTACTTCCTTGCTTTGTTCATGTCATTACGGAGGGTTACACTGGTGAAACAGAAGGCCAATGCGAGTGTGGGAGAGCCTCACAGACAGATGGTTGGGGCAGCCACCACAACTAGTCTAAAACTTGCCGATGACTGTAAGTGACGCAGGACAGATTGGACACTACTCAGTTATACAAGAACTCAGTTGTCAACTCAATTAGATCCAAATTTGTGTTCAAACACTGAAAAGTTCCAGAACTTAACATATTTTTCCCCCGTAAGAAATCATGGCAAACAAATTAATTGGCTCTGAAGCCCCAAAATTACACTTATAAATTCATTTTTCCAGGTCTTTACATCACTATGGAGGCTTTTAGCCTTCTTGCCTATCACTCAGTGTCTCCGGATTGCTACCCCCATTGAGTGGTTTCTGATTTATCAAATTAACAGTACTACATTTTGTGGTTAACGATTTCACTTTTTTGCTACATTAGCTGTATTTTTAAAAATCACATTTTTTTCACCTCAAAAATGTTGATAAATGTTGACTTAGCCATGTTGGATTCAGCTGCCAAATCAGGTGAGCAGGGACCCATTTAACTTTCACACGATTCTTTCTATAACTCTTTTGTGGTTCTCAGTTTCCCTCAGCTTTCTTGCTGGTATTAGCTTTCTTTGAGCCATGGATATGATATTTTATGTCAATAAAGCAACAACAAAAAAGCGTACACTGAAAATGTTTTCATGCACTAACACAACACTCTGTTGTTTGAGTGATAATGATGCTGAGACTGGTGTCACCACCCCTTTGTGGCCTCTTGACTCAACACGTGGCTCACTCTAGGCCTGTACAGTTTCCAAGTCGGATTTTCGGTTCTACTATCAAGCAAATTTACGCACACTGAGCAGATTTTTTTTTCTCGAATTTTGCTGTACAAGTAGTGGAAAGTTCAAGCTTGGAGTCCTTCAACAACCAAGGTATCACTGTACGTAGGTCACCAACAACAATCTTGGGACACTGAATACTGGTTACTTTGATAAGGAAGAAGGATAAAAAAAGGAAATCAAGATACCATTTATAATAGCTTCTCCAAAGTATAAAATATCTAAGAATTAACCTAGTAGGAACAAAAAGACTCATACAATGAAAATTATAAAAAATTATTGCAGAGGCTAAGCAACCTACATAAATCAGAAGATACTCAGAGCAATCCCACATAGGTTATACAATCTTTACAGAAGCAGCTAACTTTACCTTTCTCCCATGGAGCAGCTCGTGGGTTTGAATCTCCAACTTTGAATTAGCAGTGCAACACAATGTAGCATCAATAGAGTGGAAATGTCAATCTTATCTATAGTGATCTACAAATAAAATGCAATCCCAACAACATTCTTCATGGAAATGGAAAAATCAACGATCAACTTTGTATGAAAAGAAATCCTGAATATCCAAAGAAATAATGAAGAATAAAGCAGGTCTCACACTAACAGCAACACACATTAAAGTCATTGTAATCAAAATAGCCTAGTACTGGTTAATTGATAGACGCACAAATCAGGAGAATAAAGGTGCAAGTCAAAAGCATTGCTACTAGAAATCCCTATGTTGCTGTCACTAAATACCACTAGTCTGGTTCCTAAGAAGTCCCTCTTTCTTCACTTCTAAGGAGTATTCTGGCTGCACTTCTTCCACAACAGATTTGTTTTTCTGCAAGTCCATGGTACTTTCAATAATTTTCATTTGCAGCATAATTCAAATGCATACATTATTCTTTTGTCTTCCTTATTCAATGCCCAACTTTCACTTGTATAGGAGGTGATTGAATATCAATAGGATGCTGACATTATGCCCACTTTAGTCCTCAAAATGACACCCTTCCACACCTTAAAGAGGCCTAGTGTAACAGATTTGTCCCATGTAATGCACCCTCTGATTGACTGCTGCTTCCTTGAGCATTGATTGTGGATCCACGCAAGTAGAAATCCTTACCGTCAAACTTTTCTCTATTTATCATGATGTTACCTATTGGTCTAGTTGTGAGGATTTGGTCTTTCTTACACTGTTGTAATCCACACGGAAAGCTGTGTTCCTTCACTTTCATCAGCAAGTGCTTCAATTCCTCCTCCTCACTTTCAGCAAGCAAGGTTGTGTCACCTGCATATCACAGGTTGTTAATAAACCTTCCTCCAATCCTGATACCACATTCTTCTTCATGTAATGCAGCTTCTTCAATTATTTGCTCAGCATACAGAATGAAGAAATATGGTGAAAGGATACAACTCTTACACACACCTGTCTTATTTTAAACCATAGAATATTCCTTTTCTATTCCCACAGCTGCCTCTTGATCTGCTTAGATTCCAAAAGAGTACAATTAAATGTTCTGGGATTCCCATTCGCCTCAAGGCCATACACAACTTTTTAAGATGCACACAGCCTAATGTCTTTTCAGTCAATGAAACACAAGTGAAAATCTTTACAGTATTCTCGCTTTAAGATCCACCTCACATCAGCAATGACCACTCGCTCTACATCTTCTTCTGAATCCAGCTTGGATTTCTGGCAGCTCCTTGTTGATGTACTGCTACAACTGTTGAATGATCTTCAGTAGAACTTTACTTGTATGTGCTGTAGTGATATCGTTCCACATTCTCTCTGGGTCACCTTCTTCCAGAATTAGTACAAATAAGGATGTCTTCCAGTCAATTAGCCACATAGCTGTATTCCAAATTTCTTGACACCTGAGTGAATGCTTCCAGTGCTTCATTAGCCTATTAAACTAAGGTGACGAGATTTTAACATTGGTAAAGCGGGACATAAGCGGGACACCATTGATAAAACTCATATCCTGGCAAAATAGCCACATAGCAGCCGAAAACCATAAAGCCTAGCTTGTCGTTCTTTCCAAAAATCGGGACTTTTTTAAAACGCCGCGGGACACGGGAAAAATTGTTAAATATTGTGACTGTCCCGCCAAAAGTGGAACGTCTGGTCACCTTATATTAAACATTTCAACTGGTATTCCATCAACTCTTGGAGCCTTGTTTCTCGTTAATGCATTCAGAGCAGCTCAGACGTCTTCATTCGGTGTCATTCGTTCTTGATTAGAAGCTATCTCTAGAAATGGTTGAATGCTGACCAGTTCTTTTTTGGTACAGTGACTTTGTGTATTCCTCCTGTCTTCTTTTCATGTTCCCTGCATCATTTGGTATTTTCCCCAAAAGAGCTTTCAGTACTACATGGACTAAACCCATGGCACCATCCATGCAGGGTTTTATTCAAAGCAAAACATGTTTAAACATGTCTCTGTGGCCAGCGGATGGCTACAGGCAAGTTCTCTTAGAAGTATACTTTCTTTAAAAAAAAAAGAAGAAGAAGCATACTTTCTTTGTCTCATTAGAGTGTCTTTAAAAACAACGAGACAAAAACAGGACACCTGTGTCATGGGGAAAAAATTATCTTGATTATCAGGGCAAAGTCACAAAACTCTGGTGGATACCTTCCCAAATCACTTATGTATTGCAACAAGCTTACGGGAACAATGCCCCCACATCAATAATAGTGCTAGTGGATCAAGCATTTTAAGGAAGGCATCAAAGATGAGCCAAGGGAGGAAAGATCTTCAACTCAACAAACCAAAGTGTGGCTGAAGTCCAGAAGCTATGAACGACTGAAGAATTCTCATTAAAGTGACAGCTGGAATCTCACGTGGCTCAGTATTTTCTATTTTAAGTGAGAAATGCAGGCAAACACTGGACTCATGTTTTTAAATATAGAATTATTTTTAAAATTTAAACATAGGATGGAAATCTTCCTTAAATTGTCTTATATACTTTCCAAACTCCATAAATGACATGTGCATATTATCCAAGCATTCATTATTGAAATCTCCTCCTACCAAGTTATAAAAGGAAGCAAAATTCATCAAAAAAATCCACTAGGGAGTAGGCAACCCTTCATAAAAGGGGCTATCAAAATGGCCATTAGATAGAAAAATGGGCTCAACACCCTTAGTTACCAAAGCAAGTAATGCAAATAAAACCACACTGAGCTCTCGCAGAATGGCTACCAATGTTTAAAAGACTAAATACTGATGAGGACACAGGTAACGGGGACTCTCATATATTGCTGACACACATGTAAATGAGCACAACTACTTTAGAAAATTGCTTGCTAGTATCTACTGAAGCTAAACATGGATCCTAATGGCCAAGGAACTCCATTCTTGATTATACTGTTTCAAAAAGTTTGTGGGAGGAAAAAAAAAGAGTAAAAAGATAATTTTTCCATAAAATTTTTGAAGTCTTCTTGTGTATCTCTAAAGAACTGAGTGCTTATTTGTGCTTGTTTGCGCTAAAGGTAAAACTTATTTATCACAATTTTATTTATACTTATCCCAAATTGGAACTAACCCAAGTAACTATCAAGAGTAGAATGGGTAAACAAATTGTGATGATACATTCATATAATGAAATATAGCAATGGAAAAGAAAAACTGCTAGTACACATGTGTTAGGCTGAGTTGTCCAGAGAAACAAAAGCAGTGACACTCATAGATGTATTAAGAAATAGCTTCCTAAAAGAAGACAAAGAAATAACTTTCTATCAAGCCCATTCTATCACGCATCCCAGCCCATTCCAACTCAAGCCCATGGCTCAGATGCTAGCTGGAGCCTTGTTCGCTCGGGTAGCCGCAGGCTGATGACACAGAAAGTGATGATGCAAAGAGATCACAGGCTGGTGGAGGCAGAGTCAGGTGGATCCAAGTTGTGGAAGCATGGCAGGGCTCACACAGCTCCCAGGGCCAGCTCTCAGGGCCACCCCTAGAGGCAGACACAGAATCCAAGCAAGGAGGAAGGCAAAGGGCCAGAGAGAGGGGGAAAAAAATAGAAAAGAAGTTCTCATGATCTCGCTTATAAAAGGCCACACCCCCAAGGAGGCATAATCAAGATACCATCTGATTGACAGATTGACCTCCACACAAATGCATCAAGTTGACATAAAATCTAACCTCCACAATATGCAACATAGATAAACCTCATAAATAGAACACTAAGAAAAAGAAATCAAGTACAAAGATTACACATTATATGATTACACTTATTTGGCACTCAAATACAAGCAAAACTAACCTATGGCGTCAGACACCAGAAATGGGGTTTGGGGAGGAATTTAAGAGGAGACAAGAAGACCTCCCGGAGAGCTAGGAATTTCTTTATCTAGGCTTCTCACCACAAGGCTGACAGTTCAAACCCACCAGTCACTTCTAAGTAGACAACTGAGACAAAGATTTACAATCTCTGAAACCCTACAAAGGACCACTGAGTCAGAATCACCTCAATGGCAGTAGGTTTTGTCTAATTTGGGTGGTGATTACATCTATACATATATAAATAAATTTTCCCTGAGCTGAGCTGTAAGGTTGCTATGAGTCAAAATCAATTTGGCAGCACACAGCAACTATACTATTTTTCAACAAATATATAAACCCATCAACTCTAAAAAGCATCATTAGTTTATGAATATTTAAAAGAGGAAAAACTACAAAGTAAACTATGACACAATGCTTTTGATCACTTATCTTTCTTTCTTCACAATTGACTTCCCTGCCATTAATATATATAGTTGGTCTAGAGTGTTTCAATATTGTACCAGTATTTTTTTTTAATCACTAACACTTATCCTACAAGTCTTGACACAGGTGCTTGCTTTTGCAAGCAATAACCAAGATGAGATTTTTAAATAGCAATCATTCAACACTGGAAGTTAAAAGACACACATCACAACTACAAGGACAGCACTATCTATCAACAAGGCCAAGTTATACATAGCCAATAAATGACAAGAAAAAGCAATACTAAAACCCTACAGTTTATAAGATGCATCACAATCTTAGCACCATATATATATAAAGAAAGAAGTTTATATGCCCTTTTCTAAACTTCTTTCTAAGGCTTTTCATCACCCATCACTCTCCCATTCTCAATCCTTGAGTCCTTTTGTCTCCTCTTGCGATAAACTGGGTTTAGTTTGTGCTCCAGTCTTCTTGCTTCGTGCACGTTACTCAGTGTTGATTTTTGAGGGAAGCTTGACTACTACATGGTGAGATATAGACTGCCTAGTGAGAATAGACTTTCCTGCTGCCGCCAACAGGACGCTGTTAGCACAGGACGTGCGGATTGCATCTTTGGTATTTTCAGATGCTGTGTAAGAGCTGGCTTACCTGTTTTCTTTTGGGTTGAAAAGATGCACTTGACAGCCTGGATGGGCACCTCTGTCATTCTAATCCTGGGCCAACGAACACACCGAGCTTACCTTGAAGTGCATCACTAGGTAAACACTCGAGAAACAAAGATTGCCACTTTTTCCCACCTAAACAAAATGATGAAAATGCTCTAACCTAACAAATGTGGCTACAAGAGTGGCAATACCAGTGTCAGACAAAGAACTGCTCTGGCACAGGAACACAATTAGTTTAGCTGGTACACACTAAGCTTGAGGTCGGATGTTTGCTAGAAGTACCTAGTGAGCAAACAATGATAACATGACTGAAGCTCTGATGATGCCTGAAACGTAAACCATAAAAGGGTCATTATTCAGCAATAACACACGCGTTAAGGTAGCATTGTTTAAAACACTGAAATATTAGAAAAACTCTGAAAATCCATCAGTAGGGAAATTAAACTACGGTATATTTGTCTATAAACAACATAGACAAACCCATCTTCAAGAAGTACAGCCAGAATGTTCCTTAGAAGCAAAGATGGCAAGACTTCATCTCACATACTGTGGACATGCCATCAAAAGAGATCAGTCCCTAGTAAATGACATCACACCTGGTAAAACAGAGGGCCAGCAAAGAGTACGGGCAAGAACCTCAACAAGATGGACTGACACTGGCTGCAGCAGTGGGCCCAGGTTGTGGCGGTGCTTGTGGGGGCAGTGCAGAACCAGCAGGATTTCTTATATAGGGATGCTATGAGTAGGAATTGATTCAACAATACCTAACAACAGCATAAAATAATTTTTTAAAAAGCCAACTCACTGCCATTCAGTCGATGCTGACTCAAAGCGACCCTTTGGGACAGGGTAGAACTGCCCCGTGAATTTTCAAGACTGTAACTCTTTACAAGAGTAGAAAGCCTGTCTTTCTCCCAAAGAGCGGCTGGTGGTTTCGAACTGATGGACCTTGCAGTTGGCAGCCCAAGGCATACTAAACCACTACACCCTCAGGGCTTCCCACCATCAAAACATTCTACATAAATTTTTTTAAAGCACTCTAAGATGAACGTGGGTGGTGTCAGTAAGTTGCAGAATACATAAATCTAATCCTATTAATGCCAAGAACAGTATCTTAAAACTATTCCAAAATACAAATAGTATCAATGGGTAGTACAAAAGATTTTAGACAATTTTTATTTTTCTGTTACGAATCTTTTTAACAAAACTATTTAATGAACAACTCTACTCTAAACTAAATTACAAAGACTAGAATGGCCTTTTGAGGACCATGAGGTCACAAACCCAGTAGATCTCAATCTCTTACAGATAGATAGGCAGAAACAGCTTCTGTTTCACACTCACTTCCTATACTTCTGAAGAAAAGGCAAGTTAAATTGTAAAGGTATTACTGGTCATTCACAGAATTCTCCAGGTTTCTAGTTTATTTTTCATAACGTACTTATGAAACATGGTACTTGGAGCAATTTCACAATTTACAAACTAGTTGAGTTCAAGGTCACTAACCTGATAAGACGACCTAGGTCATTATTTTTAAAAGGTAATGATTTATTTAGTTCCTAAGAAAATAAAAAAGTCAAAAAGGTTCGAGAACTTCAATTGTCAAGTCAATTTCTTTTGTAATAAATCTATAGAAAAGCTATTTTAAAACGGCGATTATTGGGAGTACTAATACCAGGAGGGCAGGGGGAAGGAGAGGAAGTAAGGGGAGCCAATCTCAATGACCCCTCACCCCCGCAGTCACACACACTCAGGAGGATGAGGAAAGGAAAAGTAGGTGAAGGAAGACAGTGGTCAGTGTAAGACATGAAACAATAATACTTTATAATTTATCAAGGGGTCACCAGGGAGGGGGAGAGGGGGAAAAAAAGAAGCTGATGCCCAGGGTTCAAATAGAAAGAAAATGTTTAGAAAATGATGGCAACATGTGTACAAATATGCTTGACACAATTGCTGTATGGAATGTTATAAGAGCTGTAAGAACCCCCAATAAAATGATTTTTAAAAATTAAAAATATAACAATAGCCATTATTTATATACTGCATATACATATGTATAAACTGAGTGTTTCTGCACATTTTTAATGCAGTTTCTGTGGTGAAATTAGGTGTCTCCGCTGATATTCGGGTTGGCTGATACGCGAGTATATATGGCACATTAGAGCCCTATTCCAATAGCATAATCAGAGACAATAAATACTTTTATTTTTTCACTCTTGGTGAGGCCATCCATACAGGGTCACTATGAGTAAGAAGTGATTCGATAGCAATAAGTTTGGTTGTTTTTATTTTTGTTTTGTTCTTTTTAGGCCATCATGTAAGTCTTGTTATAATAATGCTTGCTAATCGAGAACTTAAAAATAAAACAAATACAACTAAACAATGCACAAAACATCTTTCAGGAAATTAGTACTTCTAGCTTAAAAAATCAATGGATGCAATATACTAAAAAAAAAAAAAAAAATCAATGGATGCTCCCAAATCTAAGTAATACCATTAGGAAACACACTAGACAATCTGCCAGGTCAATTCTCATCAATATAACTATGATTAAAGTTGAAGGATCAAACATTTTAAAGCTTAAATCTATTAAATCTTAGAACAGAGAAGACAAATTATCCCAATATAACTGAAAACAGAGGAGACGACAAAAGCAACAACAAAAAGATACATCCGTAAGACTTCAGAAGGAATTAACTATACTGCAATTAGCTAGTGACAAAGAGTGGAGAGCTCAGTAAGTATGCAAAAAACCTAGTTCAGACAAACCCCCCACAAGCACACATCCACACATGCAGGAAGATACAAAGTCATAAAGATGAGGGGTAGCTATCCTATTAACACAAAGTTTGGAGCAACTGCTATGCGATCTAAATAGTAATATAACACAACAACCTGTAGTTCGGAGTCCAGGTGATAGGAAAGCACAAGAACAAGGAAAACAAGTATGCTAAGTCAAACAAGACTTACAGGCAATCAGCCAATTACATCGGGAAGCAAAGGAAAAGGTACTACACTACATTGTGAATACCAAATAGGTAAAGACTATAAATATAAACTAAGAAGTCAGACTGCTAGTAGTAATCCTATGTGTAGTACACAGTTCTATCTAAGCAGAAAGAAGTGTCCAAGGCACAAATCAAAGTGTCAGTAGCACATGACTAGGAGAAAGACTAGCTAGGAACCCGCGTTAGGCAGAGGGAAAACAAAGCAGTCCAGGACCGCTGTCTCAGTCTGTGACAGTGCTGGAATGCGGAAAGTTGTGCCACCCTGGCAGGTTACCCATGGCAGGCAGGTTGTAGCAGATCTGCCAGATTAAGAAAGAATAAAAGGCCTACCTACTTCCAAAAATGTGCTGTTCTTGTTAGCTAGTCCTGGGTTTGTTTAGCTCCTACCAACCCTGACTGAGTACAACAGAAGAAAAACTGCCTGACGCTGGTCTTCCTTTTTCACCGACTCTCCACTTTCCTAAGCATGATACCCTTCTCCAAGGCTTGTCCCACTAATAACATGTCCAAAACATGTGCGGCAGTTTCAACAGCCAGTCTTCTAAAGGAGCCTTCAGACTGTACTTCTTCCAAGTCGGGTTTGCTTGTTCTTCTAGCAGTCCCCGTACAGCCAGTAGTCTTCACCAACGCCAGTAACTCAGCAGCATGACTCAAGTCTTCTCTAGTCTTCCTTACTTACTGTCCAGACTTTGCATGCGTGTGAGGTGACTGAAAGTACCATGGTTTGGTGATCTAGTCCTCACGATAACATCTTTGCTTCTGAACACTTGGAAGAGCTCTTTTGAAGCAGATACAATCACTGTAAAAACTCACCGCCATTGAGTGGGGTCTGACTCATAGTGCCACCATTGGACGGGGTAGACCTGTCCCCATGAGTTTTTTAAGACTGCAACTGTTTACAGGAGTGAAAGTCTCGTCTTTCTCACAGAGTGGCCGGTGGTTTCAAAACTGTGGACCTTGTGGTTAGCAGCCCAACCCAATAACCACTACACCACGACGGCTCCTCGTCCCAATGCAATATTCATTTGATTTCCTAACTATTTTTCCCAAAGGTATTGATTGCACATCCAAGGAAAATAAAAGCCTTGACAACTACCTTTTCTTCATTTATCATGATGTTGCTCACTGTTGCACATGTGAGGAATTTTGTTTTATGATTGAGGTGTAATCCACATTGAAGGATGATCTTTATAAATGAACGCTTGCATTCAGGTCTTCTTGGCTTTGCAACAAGGTTGTAGCATCCACGAGTCTTCCTGGACTATTTGCACAACATACAAAGCTTTTGTTGACATCTCATTTGATATTTCATCAATTCCTGGGAGCACTGAAGGCATTTTTCACCAAATGCCTTCAGTGCTGTCTGGATGTCTTTTTTCAGTACCATCAGTTTTTAATCACCTGCTACCTCCTGAAATACCTAAATGTTGACCAATTTCTCTTTGGTAGTCACTCTGTGTATTCGTTCCATCTTCTTTTGATGCTTCCTGCATCATTCAACATTTTGCCCACTGAATCTTTCAATATTACAACCCGTGGCTTGAATTCTTCAGCTTGAAAAATGCCAAGCATTTTCCCCCCCGTTTTGGTTTTCCAACTCCAGGTCTTTGCACATTTCATTAGAAAACTTTATTTTGTCTTCTTGAGAAGCCCTTTGAGCCTTTGATGCAGCTTGTCATCATTTCTTCCACCAGCTTTAGTTACTCTAAATGTTCTATGCATAAAATATACTATTGATATGGTCTCTACATTCAGGTGGGCTATGCATTTGGTTAGCAGGGGGGTTAGCAGGTTGAAACCATCAGTCACTCTGAGGGACAAAAATGAGGCCTACTAGTCATAGGAACCCTCCCTCAGGGATAGTCCTGTGAGCCAGCATGGACTCCATGGCAGTGAGTTTAGTTTTTCCTACTCAAGGCTGAACATGTACAGCTCATCCATCATTTGCAAAAAGACACTAGAGATGGAAGCAAAAAGCAAGTTTGCCTATAAACTCTCCTAGATTCAGACATGCTATGTATAGGGCGAAGTTTTCAAGGAAAGGGGGCTACAATCACAAGGACATCAAAATCACTTTCA